CAAATTTGAGGATTCCAGCTACATACTTTCACCCAACACCAAATTTAGTACATTTAGTACTTTTAGTACAAGTGTAGGACGTATTTTCAACCCAAATCTCAAACACAGGTACCATCTGTAAACTAAATATCAAATTTCCTAATTGTATCTCTATCCCTTCACTCAATGCCCAATTTAGTTCCACTTAGTACTTTTCGTACAATTATAGTACACATTTACAAACACACCTCAGTATCTCAATTCCAGATACCAACAGAGACCTCGATTTAAATTTTGAGTATTCCAGCCCTATCCCTTCACCCAATGTTAAATTTAGTACCATTTAGTAAAAATAGGACGCATTTCCAAAACCACCGCCAAATCTGAAACACAGGTACCAGGTACCTAAATATCAAATTTTAGGATTTCAACTCCATCCCTTCACCCAATATAAAATTTAGTACCATTTAGTACTTTTCGTACAAATATTCGATGAATTCGATGAACAGATACCATCAGTCATCTTTATATCGAAACGGATAAGTTATCCATGTATTTCGGATAAGTTATCCAAGAACTTTGGATTACTCGGATAAAATATCGCAGTGTTATGGACAACTCGGTTATCCAAAGTCGGATATGTTAGCCAAGTGTTTCGGATAAGTTATCCAAGTGCTTTGGATTATTCGGATAAAATAACCAAGTGTTTTGGATAACAAACTCGGATAAGTTAACCAAGTGTTTTGGTTAATTCGGATAAATTATCCAAATGTTGAGGATAACTCGAATGAGTTATCCACGTATTTTGGATTACTCGCACATTTTTTGGCTAAATCGGAAAATTTATCTAAGTGCTTGGGTTAATTTATCCAAGCTACTCAAAAATTATTCAAAATTTCTCCAAAATTATTTACAGCGTTCACAACTCGTCATATTTTCCATTATTCCTATCCTACCCCACCCATTTTATATCAGCCCAGCCTTTTTCATAATGGCTCAGATAAAAATTCATTCATAAATTCCAACAACTACAACGCATATATTTATTAAAGAAAAAGAAAATCGGCGTCAGACGTCTGCACCATGTCTGTAATCCACATTCTCAGCTGGCTGAGAAAAATAAGAACAAAAAAAAAAAAAAAAAACAGATTTTAGAACAAATGACGTTCTAACCCAAAATAAAATCCGACTCAAACAATGATTTATCAAAAACCTAACCTAAATATTGAAAATAATTAGAAAAACAAAAAAAAATATAGAAATAGAAATATGCCGATCCAGACACTCTAGAATCGAGATCGCAGACAATGGTGAGAACAATATTATTAGGGCCAGCGGCCAATCAGACCACTTCGTTGGCATTTTCTGTCTGGTTTTTCCGATAGTCTTTGTTTTGAAAAAAAAAAAAATAATAATAATAATAAATAAAAATAAAAAAACAAACTGCATTTAATGAGCCAAGGGACTAATTGTTGTCTGGACTACAACTACAATAACAAATTGAATAAATTGCAAAACAAAGATTATTGATTTCCTAATGCAACGTTAAACTAATTTTTGCAAAGAGCAACCTATTCAAAAGGCGTGACAAAAATCTTATGAATTGCCATGTCTTCATTCACATTTAATTAGGTTAGAATAAATAACAATTTAGGTGGAGAATAGATTTTTCTACTTGAAAGAGAGTCTAGGGTGTTATATCCTCCTCCTACATTCACCTCCACCCCCTCCCTACCATTATGAACTGGATCCTTTAACCTAGACGTCTGCACGTGTTTTTCATTTCAAAAAAAGAAAAAAAAAAAAACGAAATAAACAAATTATAGTTGACATGAGTAGTTTTCAAATCCCGACAACAATTACCCACATCACTTTGTAAATAACAATGGCCCAGCAGCAGCAATTCCCCCCGGAGGGCCACAACATGCTCTGCTCAGTTAGAATTGCGAGGCGGAGCGACACAATAGCTTATCACATTCACTGCTGCCATTCTCAATGGCTTTCGCCAGACATTGTCTGAAAACACTTCGAGGTCCGATACTATTTTTAAGTGATTTCAGGTGTATAACAACTTAAATAAACAATTTAAAAAGTTATTTGTTCGATGAGATTTTGAAGTTGTTGTTTTTGAATACCCTACATAAGGGGATTATAGACTTAGTTAGGGAAGACAAATTTTGTGTGGGGACTTTTTTCCGCAATCTGTCAAAATTTTATAGCATAGTTTTAGATGCTCCCCAGATTTTTTTTTATCTAAAAGGAAGCCCTTTAAAGTATAAATTAATATGAATAAACAAAGAGTATAAAATAAAAAATTAACTGTTGAAAACTCCTTAAAGTATGCAATAATAGTTCAAAATTCGAAAAACTCAAATTACATATAAGTCTAACATGTAATCGGGCCTTGCAATAGGAGACTCATTGGAAGCGCCTAAAAATATGCTATAAATTTAAATGTAAGTGTGAAAATCACTTTCAATTCAAAATGACGTAAAAACTAGCCTAAGGAGTAATTCTTCTATAGAAGGAAAACCTCAGGAAGTTTACCTTTTTTCCAAGTCACAAAACCTTCTAAAAATCAGATCTATATGCAAAAGGTCTACTATGTAGAGAATACCATTTATATTTCCACTTCAGAAACAGTTGAGTTGAGTTGTAGGGTGTTTACCGGGCCTCCTTATTTGAGTTTCTTGCCAATAATTGAAGATAAATATTTGCTTTTATTGTTAAACTGTTAGTAACCATTTTTTTATTTACCGGCTAAAGACTAAAAGCGGAAATTTTTTAAAATAAGGTAAAAAAACGGAAAGCCAATAGAAGCCTAAACGATAATTGAGATATGAGGAATGACGGCAACATTTGGCTGTTTTGATAAAAGGAAACCTTAGTTGAATTTTATAACTTATCCGAGTTATCCAAAACACAAGGATAACTTATCCGAACTTTTGGATGACTTACCCGAGTTATCCAAAACTTTTCGATGACTTACCCGAGTTATCCAATACAAATGGATAACTTATCCGAACTGTTCAAAGTACATGGATGACTTATCCGAGTTATCCAAACACTGTGATAATTTAACCGGTTTATCCGAAACTCTTTTGCAAATTATCCGAGCTATCCAAAACACTTGGAAAACTTATCGGAGTTATCCGAAACACTTGGATGAGTTATCCGAAAAACTTGGATAAGTTATCCGAGTTATCCAAAAAAGTTGTATAACTGATCTAAGTTATCCGAAACACTTGGATAACTTATTCGAGTTATCCAAAAAAGTTGTATAACTGATCCAAGTTATCCGAAATACTTAGATGCCTTATCCGAACTATCGGAAACACTTGAATAACTTTTTCGAGTTATCCAAAACCCTTGCATAATTTATCCAAGTTATCCAAACCTCTTTTATAAATTATCCGAGTTATCTGAAACACTTGAATAACTTATCCGAGTTATCCAAAATACTTGGATAACTTATACAAATTATCTTAAACATTTGGATAACTTATCCGAGTTATCCAAAACACTCGAATTAATTATCCGAATTATCTAAAACTCTAATTTACCGATTTATCCGAAATACTTATCCGAGTTATCCAAAACTCTTGTATAACTTATGCGGGTTATCCAAAACGCTTGGAAAACTTATCCGAGTTATCCAAAACACTTGGATGACTTTCCGGGTTATCCGGAAAACTTGGATAACTCATCCGAGTTATCCAAAACCCTTGGATAAATTACTCGAGTTATCCAAAGTTCTTAAATGACTTATCCGAGTTATCCGAATCATTTGGATAAATTATCCGAGTTATCTGAAACACTTCAATAAGTAATCCGTGTTATCGAAAAACATTGGATGACTTATCCAAAACACTTGGATAACTTATCCGAGTTATCCAAAACCCTTGGATAAATTACTCGGGTTATCCAAAGTTCTTAAATGACTTATCCAAGTTATCCGAATCATTTGGATAAATTATACGAGTTATCCGAAACACTTGAATAAGTTATCCGTGCTATCGAAAAACCTTAGGTGACTTATCCGGGTTATCTGAACTACTTGAATAACTTATCCGAGTTATTCGAAACACTTGGAAAACTTATCCGAGTTATCCAAAGGTCTTAAATGACTTATCCGAGTTATCCGAATCATTTAGATAAATTATCCGAGTTATCCGAAACACTTGAATAAGTTATCCGTGTTACCGAAAAACCTTGGGTGACTTATCCGAGTTATACAAAACACTTGGAAAACTTATCCGAGTTATCCTAAACACTTGGATAACTTATCCGAATTATCCAAAACCCTTGGATAAATTATTCGAGTTATCCAAAGCTCTTAAATTACTTATCCGAGTTATCCGAAACATATGGATAACTTATCCGGGCTATACAAAACACTTGGATAACTTAACCAAGTTATCCAAAACTCTTAGATTACTTATCCGATTTATCCGAAACACTTGGATAACTTATCCGAGTTATCCAAAACTCTTGGATTATTTATCCATGTTATCGAGTCCCATTGAATGAGTTATCCGAAGCTCTTGAATAACTTATCCAAGTCGTCCCAAACACTTTTTATTAAGTCGTCCAAGTATTCGGGATAACACCAATAAGTTATCCAGAACATGACTTATCCGAGTTATCCAAACTACTTGGATAAATTATTCTTGTTATCAAAAATGCTTGGATAACTTATCCGAGTTATCCAAACACTTTGGCAACATATTCGGATTATCCAAAACACTTAAAATAACTTATCCGTGTTATCCATAATTCTTTTATAATTTATCCGAGTTATCCAAAATTTTTTTATAACTTATCAGAGTTATCCAAAGTATTTGGATAAATTATTCGTTTTATCCAAAAACATTGGATAACCTAGCGAATTATCCAAAATTATCCGTGATATCCAAAACACATGGATAACTCATCTAATTTTTTATACATTTTAGAACATAATTAAATAATTTATAACTTTAATTCATATCCAACTAATATTTCTCTCCGTTTCGTTACAGGTCCCCTCACCAACGTCAATACAATACGATTACATTAACGTGTTAGACCTCATTTGAGGTCCAGCCCAAAGGGCTAAGACTGCAGACAAAAACGAAGCGAAATAGTCCCAAATATCCACAACAACAACACCATCAAAAACACCCCCCCACCCCAATACACATACAATGACAGAAAATCAAATTTATTCCATGTCGACAGAATTATTCGACTCATCTTCCAACAGCAGCAATCCATTGAAATACGATCTGTATTCATTGGGTACGTCGGCGTTATTTGCCACATTTGCGAATAATAGCAGTGGCAGCAGTAGCAACAACAACAATACTAACGGGAATAATAACGGTAGCAACAACAACAATACTAACGGGAATAATAACGGTAGCAACAACAACAACAACACCAACAGTAATAGCAACAGCAACAACCACTCAGGTGGTGGTGGCTTTGGAACAGCAACATCCACATCATCTGGTTCATTGCCATTTTTCTCAACGATTTCGTCTCACATCGGAGGTGGTGGTGGCAGTGGCTTTTCCAACGGTGGCAGTAGTAGTAATGTCATAACAATACCCCGCAGTAATAATCCCAATCAATTACACAATCCCTATCAGGACGATATTTTACATCATCCATCTTCGAGTCCCTTCTTGAGTCATCTGTTGCAGCATCAGCCACAGTTGTCGACCTCAGCGTCATCGCCATCATCTTCGGCGGTAACGGCATCGCAGCAGCAAAATCTTAATCAAACTAACAACATGATGTCCTCACAGAATCAGCAGAACCAGCAACAATCAAACGGCCAAAATAATCAACAGCAGCAGCAGCAGCAACAACAATCCGGTGGTGGTGGCGGCCTTTTAAGTGTTTCAATGGCTGACTACTCCGATTATGGCCTCGATGCCTTGGAAGCGGCCTCGTTGTCGCCCACCCTTTTGCAGGATGTCAATTTAAGTGCCGCAACCCAGAGTCTAACACCAGGACAAACTTCCAACTCAATATCCGTTATATCGCCCTTCTATAGCCATGATGCCTCCTCACCCCTGAGTCACAATGGCAGTGTGGGCAATGGCTCCTCAAGTCTACTGAGCAGCAGTGTTGGTGGCGGTGCCTCCGGCGGTGGTGGTGGCGGCATTGGTTTGAACATCTCTTCACCACCCAGTACCGATATCACCGGTGTGGTGACATTTTTGGGTTCCTCGACCACTGCCGATGACCTGAGCTCCTCGCTGATGTACGATGTAAATGTGGCCACATCGGGTAACACCATGTGGAGCGATATTGGTAGTGCCATTGTTACCACAAAACATGAACCCTTTTCCTTGGAGGATGATTACATCTTCCCCATCGATAAAAATGATATCAACTCTGCTGGTTTCGGAGCTCTGGAGGATGATCATTTTCTAGAGGATATTTCAAATTTGGAAGAATTTCTACCGGGGACAGGCCACGATGGGACAAATGGTTTCTTGCTATCGCCGTCATTGCATTCGACAACGCAAACAACGCCATCGCCGGGCATGGGACCGCCCATGGAGTTGATGCAGCAAAGCCATCATCAGCAACAACAGCAGCAGCAACAACAACAACAACATTTACAACAATTTACCCAACTACACACGATGCAGGCATCGTCATCATTGGACAGTGGCAATGGTAGCTCCATCAGTTCCAATTCGATGCTACAGCAACAACACCAGACATCTCAGCAGCAGCAACAAAATCATCAAAGTTCCTCCTCTAGTCCGTATGAAATTTATCACAGCACACCAAATAAACATCAGCTAAATAACACGAATACCTTTTCACCGGGAAGTCAGGTAGGTCCAACAGGAATCCCCTGCAAGAAGCTCAACTAATTTTCTCTCTTTTCTCTCTCTGTCTTTTGCAGTCCTCCCACTCACCCTTACAAATGAATTCCATAACACCACCACCACCCCATGCCAATCGTTCACAGTATCAAGTCAAGTCTCGGAAAATGCATGAAATTATGAAAAAAGATTATTCCCTGTCGCCGGATCGCAACAGTTCCATTGCCATGCTGGGACACTCGGTGCCAGCCAATGGCCAAGGAGGTCTGCTAATGTCCTCCCATACAGCTGTTAGCCCGGCCGGCAGCAGTGGCTATGGCAGTGCAAATGGCAGCAGTGCGGGTGGTAGTGGTTCCAACGCCGGTCCGGCTGTGATAAGCATGAACAGTGCTCGCAAACAATTCTATCAAATGGTGGCGGCCAATGACATCAGCGGCAATACGATATCGCGGCTCTCATCTTCGGCACCCACCCACCTGGGTCTGGACCACATATGGACACGACGTGAGCCTAGACAGCATTTACTTTCAACCGGTTCATTGGCTGAGGCTGAATCATTTTCATCGCTAAGCACTGTCAGTGTTCTGTCGCCGGATGGCCATGACTATTCCCAGGAGGATGACGACGATGACAACTCATCAGAGTTCAACAGCGACAACTATGATGATTTGTCCAGTGATAATGGTTCGGACAATGAAGATGATAACACCACAATCCGAGCCCGTTCCAATTCGAATAGCAGCACACAATTGTCTACCTCAAAGGGCAAGGAACGCTACTTTTGGCAATACAATGTCCAGGCCAAGGGGCCAAAGGGTAAACGTTTGGTATTCCAATCAAAATTGGAAGATCCCCACGTTCTGAACGAGGTCACCGATCCGGTGTTTAGTCCCAATTGTTCGGTGCGAGGTATCAAGGTATATAAGGTGATTATCAGCTGGCCACTAGGAGGAAAAGTTAAATGTGAAATAATTGCCTTTTTTCCTATTCCCCCACTTTAGCATAGCGGCAAGGCACGCAAAGGTGATGGCAACGATTTAACCCCAAATCCACGTAAGCTGAATAACATTGGCAAGGAATTGGATCGTTTAAGTCGTACCATCAACGATATGACTCCCGTCTCGGAACTGCCATTCAATGTAAGACCCAAGTCGCGTAAGGAGAAAAACAAGCTGGCTTCACGGGCCTGTCGCCTCAAGAAGAAGGCACAACATGAGGCTAATAAAATCAAGTTGTACGGTTTGGAAATTGAACACAGTGAGTATTATTATTAGAGAGAGAGAGAGTTTTGGACAGACCAGTATTTTTTAATAATTTCGTTTTTGTTGTCTTGCAGAACGTTTGCTGAATGCCATTAGCGATATCAAACAAAACTTGGCCCTGAAATATCGTCAACGAAATGTGGGCGAAAGCAGTGAAGAGACCGACAAACAAATCGAAAGAATTTATAAGCATGCCATAGGTAAGTTGGATGATATGCTAAGCAAATTTAATGCGAAGGTAGAATTTGGAAGAATTTTTAAGAATTTTTTTTTTGTTTTGATGAAGGTAAATCATACCAATTATGTTGGAATTTTGCAAGGTCTTAAAGACTAGAGATGAGAACACATAAAACGCCTTTTTGAATGGCTTAAGCCATCGGCTGGCTTCTTCGTAGAGAAACAAAGGAGTTTTAGGTTGACTTAGTTCGATGTTGGGCCTACGCTTCTTTTTTATTTTCTGAAAAAGCTAGCCAATGACTTTAGCCAGTCAAAAAAGCGTTTTATATATTCTCACCTTAATTGTCATTGGGTTTTGAAGAATACATGCGAAGAGACCAAAGACCAATTTTTGTGGACTTTGTGAGGAGATGTATTGTTTTACGAGAACTAACAGAGCACTTATTGTGAGTTTTTATACCCTACACCACAAGGTGGTCAGGGAGGGTATTATGTCTTTGTGCATTTGTTTGTAACAGGCAAAAGGAAACGTGATAGACCCATAGTTCCTTTTGATGATCTGCATAGAATCACATTCTGAGTCGATTTATGCATGTCCGTCCGTCCGTCCGTCTGTCCATGTACTTTTGTAAACAAAGTACAGGTCGCATTTATTGCTCGATCCAGATGAAATTTTGCACAGATCATTTGTTTGGCCCAAGGACGAACCCTATTGGAGATAATCGGTCAAAATTTAGATATAGCTCCCATATATATCTTCGTCCGATTTGCCTTTTATTGTGCACCAAACGTGTAATATCAGCCCGAATTGTATGGAATTTTGCATATACACCCAAATTAGGCCTGAAAATATGTATGCCAAATTTAATTGAAATCGGTTCAGATATAGCTATAGCTCCCATATATATTGTTCATCCGATTTGTTATTTTTGTCCACCGCCGCCGTAATATGCACTCTGCAACAACAATATTTGGGGAAATATATCAAATACAGTTCAGAAATACATTAGCTAAATTTTATCGAGATCGGTTCAGATTTGGATATAGCTCCCATATATAACTTCGTCCGATTTACCTTTTATTGTGCACCAAACGTCTAATATTTGTCCAAATGGGATGGAATTTGGCACTTACGACCGAATTGAGTCTAGAAGCTAGTATATGAAATTTGGTGAAGGTCGGTTCAGATATAGCTATAGCTCCCATATATACTGTTCATCAGATTTGTCATATTTGTTACCCACAGCCGTAATATGCACTTCGTAACAACGATATTCAGGGAAATATATCAAATACAGCTCAGAAATATCTTTGCCAAATTTGGTCGAGATCGGTTCCGATTTGGATATAGCTCCCATTTATAACTTCGTCCGATTTACCATTTATTGTGCACCAAACGTATAATATTTGTCCAAATGGGATGGAGTTTGGCACATACGACCGAATTTAGTCTAGAAGGTAGTATGCCAAATTTGGTGAAGATCGGTTCAGATAAAGTTATAGCTCCCATATATATTGTTCATCCGATTTGTTATTTTTGTCCACCGCCGCCGTAATATGCACTCTGCAACAACAATATTTGTGGAAATGCATCAAATACAGCTCAGCAATACAATTGCTAAATTTTATGGAGATCGGTTCAGATTTGGATATAGCTCCCATATATAACTTCGTCCGATTTACCTTTTATTGTGCACCAAACGTCTAATATTTGTCCAAATAGGATGGAATTTGGCACTTACGACTAGAAGCTAGTATGTCAAATTTGGTGAAGATCGGTTCAGATATAGCTATAGCTTCCATATATATTATTCATCCGATTTGTTATATTTGTTACCCACAACCGTAATATGCACTCCGTAACAACGATATTCAGGGAAATATATCAAATACAACTCAGAAATATCTTTGCCAAATTTTATCGAGATCGGTTCAGATTTGGATATAGCTCCCATATATATCTTTATCCGATTTTAAATTAATTGTGCACCAAATGGGCAATACAATTCCGAATTTAAAAGACACAAATGCTTCGGCATATTTAGTCCTTTGAACTTTAAATTATAATTATAATCATAGCGTGTATGATTGAATTCTCCCATAAAAACTTTTAATTGTTATATGGAGCTCTACTAAATTAGCAAAGTGGTGTACGGTATCATAAAGTCGGCCCCGCCCGACTTTAAGACTTTCTTTACTGGGTTTAAAAGGAGTTTTGAATAGTAAACATGCCAATTATTGTGAATATTTGAGGAATAGGTTCTGATAGGTTTCTGATAAACATAAAACATAATATTTCTATAAACAATACCTTAGAAAGATATATCCACATAGGACCTTTTAAGCGATCTTAAAGTCATTCACATAGCCTATTTATAGACTGAAGACGTCTCGCCTAATAATTGAACTTTTAGGCCATTGAAGTATTTATTTCGTAAGTTATTTTCGTCCTTCTTACCGACCTAGGTTTCATGAGACTTTTAGTAGAAGCGGAGTTTGCAATTCTGATAAAACACCCACCTAAATATGAAGAGACTTTCTTAAGAACCTGCTGGTAATTTTGATAAGAATTGCCATTTATGATGGGCTTTTAGGAAGACTAGTTGAAAAGAATTGACATTCCAATTCTTGTAAACATTTGGGAAAATATTTTCAAGATCTAACAGACCAATTATACCCTAAGCGATTTGGCTAGAGAGGGAGGGAGGGTTTATATCATTTGATAAGGCTTAAAATTTGCCTCATCGAAATAACGGTTTTAGAAACTAGGTCTTTTTTGACTAAGTCCGTTTCAGGTCATTTGTAGTCGATCTAGCGATGTCCGTTCGTCTGTCTGTTTGGCTGCCTTATTCGCACGATAACTCTCGAAGGGAGTATCCGATTTCGTTCAAACTTGGTACATCGTAATATTATTATCAAATTTAGATCGTGTTCGGAGATGGGCAATATAGGTCCACTCCTTCTGGTACCTCACCCACAAAGGGTCGAAATTAGCAAAAAATATTTTACTACACAGAAAGAGAATGGATGATCCTATTTTGATTCTACTTTGCAAATCCTAATATTTACATCAGTGCTACGTCAGATGCGAAAATGGAAAATATTTGTCCACTCCATCAAGTACTTTCCCCACAAAGGGTCAAAATTTTGAATAAATTTAACTGTTGTAAAATGTGATGTCAGAGTCCGATTGTCTTCATATTACACACATCTCAATATTTTTATTAATCCAAGGTCTGGTGTGTAGATTGGATATATAGGTCCACTCCTTTTGGTACCTCTACCACAAAGGGTCAAAATTTTGAATATTCATAAAGCTCATAAAACACGAAATTAACATCCGATTTAATTCAGACTTGGTACATCTCAATATTTCCATCAACACAAGATCTGTTATATATAGGGTATAGATCGGACCATTCCTTCTGGTACCTCCCCCACAAAGGGTCAAAGTTTTGAATAACCAAAACGATCATAAAATCCGAAATAAGCATCCGACTCTCTTCAAATTACACATATCACAATATTTTTATTAATCCAAGGTCTGGTGTGAAGATTGGATATATCGGTCCACTCCTTCTGGTACTTCCCCCACAATGGGTCAAAATTTTGAGTGTTCATGAAGCTTATAAAACACCAAAATTATATTCGATTCCATTTAGACTTGACACATCTCAATATTTCCATCCACACAAGATATGTTATATATAGGGAATAGATCGGACCATTCCTTCTGATTCATCTCAATATTTCCATCCACACAAGATCTGTTATATATGGGTATAAATCGGACCATTCCTTCTGTCAAAATTTTGAGCGTTCATGAAGCTCATAAAACACCAAAATTATATTCGATTCCATTTAGACTTGACACATCTCGATATTTCCATCAACACAAGATCTGTTACGAAGAGGGTAAAGATCGCACCATTAATTCTGGTACCTCCCCCGCAAAGGGTCAAAGTTTTGAATAACCAAAACGATAATAAAATCCGAAATAATCTTCCGACTCTCTTCAAATTACACACATCACAATATTTTTATTAATCCAAAGTCTGGTGTGAAGATTGGATATATCGGTCCACTCCTTCTGGTACCTCCCCCACAAAGTGTCAAAATTTTGAGTGTTCATGAAGCTCATAAAACACCAAAATTATATCCGATTCCATTTAGACTTGATACATCTCAATATTTCCATCCACACAAGATCTGTTATATATAGGGTATAGATCGGACCATTCCTTCTGGTACCTCCCCACAAAGTGTCAAAATTTTGAGTGTTCATGAAGCTCATAAAACACCAAAATTATATCCGATGCCATATAAACTTGATACATCTCAATATTTCAATCCACACAAGATCTGTTATATATAGGGTATAGATCGGACCATTCCTTCTGGTACCTCCCATCCGGCATCCGGCTCTCTTCAAATTACACACATCACAATATTTTTATTAAACCAAGGTCTGGTGTGAACCGACTGATACTTTTTTACTTTTTTTTAATTTCTTTTTTGGAAAACACCCTATAGTCCTCCATGGGAATAATTTCTGCTTTTCCTATCTATTTTCAAGATCAATGAATTTTTGAATTTTTTGAAAATTCTTAATTTTTTTTTGGCCTTCTACGAGCCTTCTGTATTTTTAATTATCTCCTGAAACAACTAGTTTTTTTAAGTTTTCTGTCATTTTACTATTCTTGTGTACTTTTTTATAAATATGATCTGTTCTATTATTTAAATTAATATTTTCTGGTCGTCTACTACACTCGTGGATTTTAAGAAAAAAAATATGGGGCCCTTCATTTTTTTTGGATGTTTACTTGTCTTTGGTAGAACTAAATTTTTTATAATTTCCTCTTTTTTAACATTTAATTTATAAATCTGTGATTATTGTCTTCTTGTTTTAGGTGGCTTAGCTATTGCTGGCAGTACCACAGATTTTGTCAACAAAGTGCTGGTGAATGTTAAAAACGGCCAGCCCAGTGGTGGTCTGGAGGAACTTAAAAATACCTAAGTCTAAGGAATCAATGTAAATGCATCGAGCAATGAGGCAGAAACTTTTCAAACCCCAAAATGCTATACTTACTCCAAGCCAAGCCACGCCAAACACAACAAACTCTACTATTACTACTACTCCACAAAGATGAAACGAAGCTAACTACAAGAAGAAGAAAAATTATTTTACAAAAATTAAGGCCCCCCTCCCTCTCCTAAGAAGAAAATTATTTCAACTATAATGCAACAACAAAAACATATAAGAGGCATACATACAAAAACAAAGAAAGAAACAAAAGTGAAAATTGGTTAATCTACAAGTAAGGAATGAAATCCAAAAAAACAAAAATAATTATATTTTTACTGTAAAATGCTACCAGTTTTACCTGTCGTTTTTATTTTTGTGTAATTATTAAAATTTTTTTGCTCTTTTGAAGAAAAAAATACAATACAATATTTTTTTGTTTAAGTTTTAAGCATTTGTTTTACACGATACCGTTTTAGTTTTCTTAAGTTTGCTTCTGGTTAAGTTTTAAAACAACAACATGTAATATATATATCTAGATTTATATTTGATTTTTTTATTATTATGATTATAATAAATGTTTATAAATTAGTTTTAATTTCTAACCTCAAACGAGAAAAAAACACATGATTATTATTTTTTTTATGTAGAAGTTTTGTAGAAAAATGTTGATGTGTTTATGGTGCTACTGTCAAGGTTTTTAGAAGAGAGAAAAGGAGTGGAATGGAGAGAGAGAGAATGGGAAATTTTATTTGAAAATAATATATGAGGTTATGTATGAAAAATATTTTCAACGTCCATGTTTTTAGTATGTTTTAAAGAAAGTGTGAAGTATAAGTATAAAAGGTATACAAAGTGATTGACTTTTAGAAATGAAAAATTCACTAGGATTCACTATTCTTGGGTTTAACCCAAAAAAAGGAGGTTATGTGAAAAATATTTTAACTTTTTCCAATTTGTGGATAAAAAATATGTACATTTTTATATAAACATAAATTACCCTGTTATTATAAATCCATATTTCAAACTTTAAAACTTGTACCTATATTTCAAACCTAATCTAGATTTAGAGGTTATGTCAAAAAAATTTTTGTGTGTTTTTTTTTTTGCTTTTCGGTGTTCTGTGGTTAAATAAGTTACGGAAGTATTTTGAAAAAATATAAAAATTACCCAATTTCAATAGCATGAATATTTTTAAAGCTTTATTTTTGGACTTAACCCAAAAAGTGGGGTTATGTTGAAAAACATTTTTTAATTTTTGTCTGGATTTATAGTTTTATCCGATTCGTGATTGAAAATTGAAAACAACGGGTATGAAAAAGTTTAAAAAAAAAAGTATTGCAAATATTTAAACAGAATTGAGGTTATATTAAAAAATTATAATATTGAAAAAAATATTTTTAAAATTGCGTGAAGTCATATTGAAAACAATCTTTTATTGTTACTTTATCCGCAATATTTCTGTGTGAAACTACCATTCACATAGTAAACAATGTAAAAAACTGTTTTCTCTGTTTATTAAAAACATAACCTCAAAACTAGGGTTATATTAAAAAAAAGCTTGTTTTTTATAGATTTTTTTCCACCCAGAATAAAAATTACCCAAATATAGTTCCAAAAAGGCGTAATAATTAATATTGTTACTGCTAAGCCTGGGGATATATATTTTTTATAACAAGCCCAAAGTGAGGTTATGTCAATGTATTTTATTTAATTTCATTTATTTCTCAAAGCTACAAAATTGTTCTTCAATGGCCTCCTATATAACAATACAGCTTTTATATTCTCCATATTTTCCTTTGAAAATAGAAAATAATCGAAAATCTGTATTCATTTAAAAATTCTCTAAGATCAGGTTATGCCAAAAAATATTTTCATTTTCTTAACAAAACCAAAAAAATAGGACTTCAATGGCCTATAAAATAATACAGCTTTTATATTCTCTATAACTTATAGCTTGTAATAATTTTAAAATTTTCTAATATGAGGTTATGTTGAAAAACTATTTCAGTTTTTTTATCAAAGTCAAAAAAATAGACCTTCGATAGCCTCTACAACAATACAGCTTTTATATTCTCCATAATTTACTTTTAAAATAAAAAATCTGTAAAAATTAAAAAAAAACTATCTAAAATGAGTTTGTGTCGAAAAAATATATTTTTTAACCCGAGTTTTGGTATAAAAATTATCACGTAACAATAACTATTTTATAATATTAAATTATATGTCACCGATACCCATTTTGCATACAGTTTTTTTAAATAATCTCAAATAAGAGGTTATGTCAATTTTTTAATAATGTGAGGTTATGTGATTTCTTTTAAAAATTTTTTTCCGGATTTTTTTTTTAATAAAAATTTATACACATTGTTTAAAAATTAGTGATTATTAATAATGTTATTAAAAAAAAACACGGCATTTTTAGATTTTAAATTCACTTCATAAAAATGAGTTTATGTTATTTTTTTCATCTTTTTCGCTTATTTCCAATTGGTTTTTATACAAATTTATTCTATTTTGAATAAAATTGAATAATTTTATTAAAGAACAGGAACATAACCTCAAAGTCTCGTAATAATATTAAAACTAAATATATTCAACAATGCGACAATTGTTTGAAGATTGTGAAATACATTGTTGCACAAGATTTTGAAAATAGCCCCAAAAAGGTGAGGTGATACAAAATATTCCATTTTGTTTATATAAAATAATATACAAAAACTGAATAATTTTGTGTGTAAGTTATTAAAAAAAAACAAAAATGTTTATTTTGAACATAACCTCAAAATTGAGTTAATGCCAAAAAATAATAATTTTGTTCCCCGGAATATGTTATTTTAAATTGTTCATTTTTTAAAAAAATATTTTAATGCAAAACATCTGAATTTACGAAAAATTGTTTTTAAACATAACCACAAAAATTAAATTATTACAAAACATGTTTCTTTGCCCCCTTTTTTTGATTAAAACGCACAGAAATTGTGTTGTTGAAATGTATATTTAATATAGAGTTTTAAAAAAAACTTCGATTTTGAGAAAAATCATAACCTCAAAAGTTGGGTTATGATCAAAAAACATTTTTAATTGGTTTCTTTCATTTTTGTTTTTGTTAAACTATCAAATTGGGATTAAGACGCATGTAAATTGTCGGCAAATGTATATCTTTAAATGTTCCGAAATTGTCTTAAATAGATAATAAAAAAAACTGTCGTTTTTTCATATCCTCAAAATTGGGGTTATGTTCACAACACATTTTTGGTTTTTTCCTTTTTTTTTAATTTTCAATAAAAAAAAAATTAAGACATATATTTTAATAATATCCCTGAAAATTCCCACAATTTCTATTTCTTTCATATTCTTAGAAGTTAGGTTATGTTAAAAAATATATGTTTCTTTGCACCGGTTTGTGTGATTAAAGCGCATGGAATTTATTGACAACTATACTTCTAATATATACTTTGAAACGATCAGAATTTCTCTTAAACATATAACAAAAAATATGATTTTTCCATAACCTCAAAAGTAAGGTTATGTTCACAATACACTTTTGGTTATTTTCTTTAAATCTCATTGTTAAATAATAAATAAAAACATTTTTTTAACATAAAAGTTAATCACATCACTGGGATATGGGGTTTCTATTCCCTAGATAACCTTAGAAGAGAGTTTATTATAAAATTTATTAAAACTGATTTTTAAACATAACCTCAAAATTGAATTTATTAAAAACATATGTTTCTTTGGACCGGTTTTGTTATTGTGACCCATATCAAACGATAGTTTTTTTTTCAAACATAACCTCAGATTTATTTCAACTTAAAATTTATTTTGACCTATTCTCTCTCTCTCTCTACTTTACAAAAATCAATTTCCAGTAGCATCATTTGAAACAAAACTAGATTGCAACATGCTGGAGACAGAAAAAATAGCTAATCAAAACTTTTTTGTTTTGTTAAAGTTTTTGTTTGCGTTTCTCCTTTTTATTTCTGTAAAAAACACGAACTTTAAAGTTAAAAAAAAACTTACAAAACAAACAACACAGATGTGAAAAAGTTAAACTAAAACTTGCAAAACAAACAATCCCCAAATTTATTTTTACAAAGTTATAATCCCCACTAAACTTTAAGTAAAAATTTGAAATTGAAAAAAAAAAAACGATAAAAAAATAAAGATGTGACATATTTGTTTGCTATGAAATGAAAACACGCACTAAATGTTGTATACACACATTACATATATATAAAATATATTAAAAAACAGATAAAATTTATTTATAATATGATCTAATATAAAAGAAAACAAAAGGAAGCTGAAAATTTATAAAAAAATACACATGTAGATTTTATAAGATAACAAAAAAAAAAGCGAATGCATATACATACATAATTACATACATGTAAACATATATATAGAAACTACTGTTTATACAGGGTGTACTGAAATGTGTGTGAATTCAATGTGAAATGTAGAAAAAAGCAAAAAATAACAAGGACGAGGAAGACTGCCTTGAAAACAATTATGAAATTCTATTTAGCGCCAATGCCATGTTTATTTAGCATTTTTTGAAGGCTATCTATTAACACAATATCTGATGTGAAGATGGGATAGATCGGACCACTACTTTGGATACCTCCCCCAAAAAGGGACGAAATTTTGAATATTCACAACGCTTATGTAATGCGAAAGAAGAGTCTGATTGTCTTCGTATATCCCAATACTTCTAGCAACTCTAGGTCTAATATGAAGATGGGATATATTGAACGACTCCTTCTGGTACCTCCCCCACAAAGGGACAAGATTTTGAATAATTATAACTCTCATAAAATGGAAAATAAACATCCGATTCTTTTCAAAATTCACATATTCCAGTCTTTCTATCTACACAAGATCTGATGTAAAGATGGAATATATCACCCCACTCCTTCCGGTACCTCTCCTATAAAGAGAACATTTTGAATAATTATAATCCTTACATAATTCAAAATAAGCATCCGATTCTTTTCAAACTTGGCACATCCCAATCTTTATATCACCAGAAGATCTGGTGTGAAGATGAGATAGATCGGACAATTTTTTTTTGGTACCTTCCTTACAAAGGGTCAAAATTTTGGTTTTTTCACAATGCTTATAAAATGTGAATTAGGAGTCCGGTTGTTGATTTCGCATATCCTAAAACTTCTAGCAACTATAGGGCTACTATGAAGATGGAATATATTGGACGACTCCTTCTGATACCTCCCACATAAAGGGTGAACAATTTTGAATACATAACCATTTCAAAACTCAAAATGAGCATCCAATTATTTTCAAACTTGGCACAGCCCATT